AGACATTGAGCACGTCATGCACGTCAAGCTCTGTCAGACCATACGGAGCAACAGCACGGGTCAGGTTAGAGTGGCAGTGGAAGTCGAAGCTTTCCCCACCCATGACCAGATTCACATAAGGATCACAACGGGTACCAAGAAGGTCGTGCACGCGCCCTCCGAACTGCGTTGTGCCGAAGCCCTTTCCTTCTTTTCGCTTGCCATCCTCATCCAAAACTTCGTGAAGTTGCCCACCTGCTAGCGAATCACCTGTAATGGTAATTAGAGGGCGCAAGTATGGCAGGTTCGACCACAGGCGGTCACCAACCGAGACATGGGAGGCGTGGATCTGACGAGTGCGCGCTGCCCAGAGTCTTTCGCGAGGGTTATTCGCATTCCATATGTTAAGATCACCCACTTGAGGACCCTTCGGCGTGGTGAGACGGCAGATGTGCCCGGCTGGTACTACCCAAGCTTGGCCCGAGCATGGACGAATAGTGAAGGATGACTCTAGAGTTCGTTTGGAGGACTCGGAAGCTGTTTCCGAGATGTTTCGGTACAGCTTTGAGGTAGCATGGACTCCAGAATCAGCAGGAGCTGTATAAGCTGGAGGGGGACGACGCGGAGCAGCCATTGTGGATGTGTCTGGTTGAAGCAGTAGTCTTAAGGTAATATATTTGGCGGTTCGAGATGACCAGTGTACGCGACCAATGCGAGAGGAATGTACATCTTAGCCCACGCCAGGGGCAGTGAACCTATGCTTTAATAGTACACGACTACCTCGGGATGCCTGCCGATGATCGCAGCGTTCCTTATCGTATTCTGCCCCATACAGCCCCGCTTTGGGGTCCCAGTTCGGGTCCTCTCATGGCCATCACGACGTATTGACACCGGGCCGATATGGGAGGGTTGAGCCCTTATCGAATTCGACCGGGCCGGACGATAACTTGATCGCAGAACTGATCTCATTAGTAATTCGTTGCCTGGGGCAGCAATGTTCCTGTTCCGCCTTTTGCCCCCATTTTCTCCGGCGGGAAGATCTCGGCTCGGAAAAAACACCCTCCGGCGAAAGAAAATGGAAATAATAATTTTGGCCGAGCTACTGGACAACGGAAGCAGCTCGCCGATTGCTCGACTTTTTGGTGAAAGCTTTTATCTTTTCACGAGCCGGGGAGAGATTTCTTGAGGGGTCTACAGACCTCGTATATTCAAGATGGAGGAGCAATCCAACAGGGCGCATCGCCCTGCCAAAGAGAAAAAGAAGTACGACGGTATGTAGTACTTCTTCAAAGTCGGATTCGCCGCTTTTTCAAGAAAATGGTCGACTAACAGATGTATCACAACTTAGGCCCGAATCCGAAGGCTTTCGCGTTCTCGAACCCTGGCAAATCGAATAAGGCCGGCGCAAGATCTCACGATGTATGCGCTACTACCCTCTTCATAATCCCGTACGCAACGGTCACTGATGCTCATTCTGCCGCATAGATCAAAGAGAAGAGACTCCATGTGCCTCTTGTTGATCGCCTGCCCGAGGAGGCTCCGCCGCTCGTGGTGGCTATTGTTGGCCCACCGGGGGTATGTATCTTTACCAATGATGCCACTGTCAAGATTGCAACATGCTAATACCTTCGCTGCTTCCAGGTTGGAAAAACGACCCTTATCAAGTCCTTGATCCGTCGATACACAAAGCAGACCCTCAGTACCCCCAAGGGACCGTTGACTGTTGTAACCTCAAAACGGCGCCGCCTTACCTTCCTAGAATGCCCCTCCGACTCCCTCGCCAGCATGGTCGATGTGGCTAAGATCGCGGATATTGTGCTTCTGATGATCGACGGAAACTATGGCTTCGAGATGGAGACTATGGAGTTCTTGAACGTTTTGGGCTCTCACGGTATGCCCGGAAATGTGTTCGGTATCCTGACCCACTTGGACCTTTTCAAAAAGCAGAGCACCCTGCGTGCTGCCAAGAAACGCCTCAAGCATCGTTTCTGGAGCGAGCTGTACAACGGTGCCAAGCTTTTCTACCTTTCCGGAGTCGTCAATGGCCGCTACCCCGACCGTGAAGTACACAACTTGTCCCGCTTCTTGTCTGTCATGAAGAACCCGAGACCGCTCATCTGGCGCAACTCTCACCCTTATGCCCTCGCAGATCGATTCCTCGACATCACGCCGCCTACCCAGATTGAAGAAAACCCGAAGTGTGATCGGACGATAGCGCTCTATGGATACCTACGAGGCACCAACTTCCCGGCTTCTGGTGCGCGCGTGCATGTTCCTGGTGTGGGTGACTTAACTGTTTCTGGCATCGAGTCTCTCCCTGACCCATGCCCAACACCTTATATGGATCAGCAGTTGGCTAAAGCCACCGGCAAGAATAGCAAGCGCAGGCTGGGAGAGAAGCAGAAGTTGCTTTTTGCTCCTATGTCCGACGTCGGTGGTGTCTTGGTTGACAAGGATGCTGTTTACATCGATGTGAAGACCTCGAACTTTGATCGTGGCGATGAATCGGACGATGAGGAGCGTGGTCTGGGAGAGCAATTGGTCGTCGGTCTTCAAGGAGAGCGTAAACTTCTGGGTGAGGCAGACAGTGGTGTTCGTTTGTTCCGCGGCGGTGGTGCCATCGGAAAGGCAGATGACGAGGATGAAGCTGTCGGCAGGAAGCACAAGAGAAACGTTCGATTCCTGGACGGCGAACAGGACAATCAGGATGCGGCGGACGATGATGAAGGCTTCGAAAGTGAAGAGGGCGAAGAGGACGAGGAGGACATGGAGCAAGATGAGGAAGAGGACCTGAGCGGTGATGAGGAAGAGGTCGACGCTTCCGCACCGCCAGATTTCGAGGCCAACTTCAAGGAAAGACAAAACGGCAATGCTCATCAGAAAGAGGACGACATCGCTTTTGCCGACAGTGACTCCGACCTTGGTTCCATCTCGTCAGTAGAGGATCAGGTCCTCGATAGCGACGAGGATGACGAAGACGAAGACGGTGAAGATGATGGCGAGGTCCGTTGGAAGGACAACATGCTTGCCAATGCGAAGGCCCTCCATTCGAAGCGTCCTAAGTACCGTGTCCCTGACTTGTCACGCATGCTTTATGATGAAACCATCCCACCTGCAGATGTGATCCGCCGATGGAGTGGTAAGGAGGAGGCCGACGGCGACGACGATGAAGAGCCTGAAGAGGACGAAGACGCTTTCTTCAGGAAGACAAATGTTGAGGAAGAAGAGGCTGCGGAGTACCGTGCTGTTCCTGAGTACGACTACGCCAAACTAGAAGCCAAATGGCAAGATGCGGACATGATTGAATCCCTGCGGCAACGCTTCGTCAGTGCCAAACTGTCTGGTGGCGACGATGATGATTCGGATGTCGATGATGCATTTGATGAGGATGACGAGGGTGACGGAGAGTTTGAAGACTTGGAGACTGGTGAAGCTTTCGACGGGTTCTCTGACGAAGAAGGCGCCGACGATGATGAAGCTGCAGAGGCCGAAGGCCCCGTCGATTTGGATGCAGAGCGAGAACGTAATGCGAAGAAGAAGGAAGAATTGAGGCTGCGCTTTGAGGAAGAAGACCGTGAAGGATTCGCTAACTCCAAGGACAACTCCCGGCAGGCCGGTGGTGGAGATGAAGAATTCGGAGAGGACGAGTGGTACGATATGCAGAAGGCCAAGCTCCAGAAGCAGATCGACATCAACCGTGCTGAATTCGATATGCTTGACCCGGCCTCGAGGGCCCGTGCGGAAGGTTTCAAGGCTGGTACTTATGCACGTATCGTGCTTGAGAACGTTCCTTGCGAATTCGCAACCAAGTTCAACCCCCGCTTCCCTGTGATTGTGGGTGGACTGGCCCCGACTGAAGACAGATTCGGTTATGTGCAGATCCGCATCAAGAGGCATCGTTGGCATAAGAAGATCCTGAAGAGCAACGACCCTCTTATCTTCTCTCTCGGTTGGCGCCGCTTCCAGTCCCTGCCGATATACAGCACTTCGGACAGTCGAACCCGTAACCGCATGCTCAAGTACACTCCCGAACACATGCACTGCTTTGGTACCTTCTACGGGCCTCTTGTTGCACCTAACACCGGTTTCTGCTGTCTGCAATCATTCTCGAACAAGACCCCGGGCTTCCGCATCGCTGCTACAGGTGTCGTACTGAGCGTCGACGAGCACACGGAGATTGTCAAGAAGCTTAAGCTGACTGGTGTACCCTACAAGATCTTCAAGAACACCGCTTTCATCAAGGACATGTTCAACTCGTCTATTGAAATCGCCAAATTTGAAGGAGCTTCCATCCGGACTGTATCTGGTATTCGTGGTCAGATCAAACGCGCTCTCAGCAAGCCCGAGGGTTACTTCCGTGCTACCTTCGAGGACAAGATTCTCATGAGTGATATCGTCTTCCTTCGCGCATGGTACCCGATCAAGCCCCACCGCTTCTACAACCCTGTCACCAACTTGCTGGATCTGGACGAGGACGGTGTCGGTGACAACGGCTGGAAGGCTATGCGTCTCACTGGTGAAGTCCGTCGTGAAAAAGGAATTCCTACTCCTATGAACAAGGACTCAGCTTACCGCGCCATTGAGCGCCCTGAGCGTCACTTCAACCCTCTTCGTGTGCCACGCCAGCTGGCGGCTGACCTTCCCTTCAAGTCCCAGATCACGAAGATGAAGGGTCGGAAGGACAAGACCTACATGCAGAAGCGTGCTGTGGTCCTGGGTGGTGAAGAGAAGAAGGCACGAGATCTCATGCAGAAGCTTAATACCATGCGCAACGAGAAGCAGGCCAAGCGTGCGGCCAAGCAGGAGGAACGGCGCCAGGTGTATCGTGCGAAGGTTGCGGAGGGTCTGGAAAAGAAGGCCGAGCGGGAGAAGAGAGAACGGGATGAATACTGGCGCCGAGAAGGTAAGAAGCGCAAGAACCAGGACAGTGAAGGTGGCGGGGGTAAGAAGCGCAAGTAAGGCAACGCTTCCTGCAACGGCATGTTTTTGGGATCTCTACCGGATGTTAAAAGTTTACTGTGAATATGGTCGATGTGTATCTATCTACATGTTGCATGGTGGATGGCGTTGAATCTTACCCGACTATAGCGTCGGACTTCTTATTTCTCTTATTGGATTATTGTTTTTATGTGGATATATTGATGCTCTATACCAGGAATAGACTGAGTTGGTGTTGACTTTTACATTTCTGTGGCTGCCTGAAAATGGTGCCTGAACCATGCGGTGGAAGTAACCCCACGTGACCGCGCCGCGCAACGCGTCTTGTCTCGTCGCTCGTTGCTGTGCTGGTCCTGGAAGATCTTCCCCATGTTGCCCTGCGCCCACCAGCGCAGTGAACGCTAGCTCTGCATTCAATTTGTTCTCCATGTAGGCGAATCCTCGTCTACATATGGCATCCCTCCTCATCCTTCCCTCGCGCCCCTCAAGCCGATCCATCAGGCATCGGGATTGACGTGCGGAGACCAACAACGTGCTTTTGCTAGTACTTAGTCCCGCCTTGCACGTGTGGATTCTTCGAACGCCATCCCTTGCAGCAAACAGCTTCTCAGGCATTTTGTCTCAGTGGACTGAGTGCTCCTGACAGCTCCGCTTCGGACCTTCCCGTGTCCAACAACGTCAGAAGCGGGCGGTGATCTGCCTCTATTTGACGCTAGACGCCAGGCCGTTTGAGAGCCCTCGTGATTGTTTACCCTCTGCCTCCTCTGCTGCCATCGGAGGAATGTGCAAACGCCACACCCGAGAGCTTATTGAGATTCCTCAGAAGACCTGCAGTGTCAGGTTTCCGCCGCTCATTTTATCAGTATGAGTGGATCGTCGCGGTTAGACGGACGCCCACATGTGCAGAACCCCCAACCCCAAATTGCGTCGCGGAATCTTGCAGAAGCCACCGAACACCACAGCCGCCCAGCTGGGAGCCGCCATCATGACACCATAGATCATAGAAACAGTCGTGTTGGCGTATCGCCACCTAAGCCGGAGTCGTCCATGGCGGTTCACATAACATCAGAGCCACCATCGGATCAGCCGGCATCTAATTCCAATAGACACTTACCACAGTCTTCGGTCCCGACGGGTCTGCCGCCTGTCGCGCAAGGAAAGCACTTCGAATACAACAGAACGCAAGAAATAATGCACCACCAAATATCGTCAGAACCCACGGGGACGAGTATACGCGCGTCCACTGGTGGGCAACAGATCAGGTCTGAGCCATTGGCGTCCACCATTCGAAAGAGCCATAGTCCCTCTATGACGGTACCGGGAAGCCCACCCAAACATAACGCCCCATCGAAGAGGACTGCAGCTGGGATCTCCAAACACCTTGTCGATGCCCCTGGAGCGGACCACCCTTCCGAAGTAGACAGTCCCGATCGACGTCGCTCTCATAGTATTGGCTCCCTATCGCGTGAGAGCAGGATTGCAGCGGTAAGGCTTACTCCTTACATCAATTTCGGCGACTTGTATGTGAATTCTAATGTCAAATTAGTTGTCCGTTCACCTGCGAACGCGGTTATCGTATGCTGCCGCCAAGGTTGAGAAGAGTAGGAAGATCCATGGCGTCCATGCTCATTCCTTATCGCCTAGTACAGAATCTCTCGCTAAGGTTGGACTGTTGCCCGCCTTCAGCGAGATAGAGGCTCAGCGTTTGGGAGAAAATAGCTCACCAGATGGAACCACAATGTCTGCGCCGGATCCACCCTCAACAACCAGTTTCTACACCCCGAGCGGCCCTGGGCGGTTGTCTCCTGTGGCCCAATCCGCCGATGCCTCGCCACCCTCACACCTCGATCTGCCAAAATCCCATCCCCGTCCAAAACTCGCACCCCCTGCAGATATTGCAAGTGGAAGCCGCAGTCGCCGTCGACGTCCCAACCCCAATGAGCCGCTGCACCACCCGAAAGTTTCTGTGTCACTGCATCGCAGACATCGCTCTTACCAAGAGGTTGGCGTGTCCAGGCCAGCTGCAAATTCAGAGAAGGTGCAGGTCCCTGGGACTCCTCCTCTTGGCCCAATGCGTCAGGCTTCTTATAACGGTACGGTTGGTCATCAAAACCACAATCGAAATAGCGCTATGGAACAGGACGCTATCGAAACTCTGCTTTTCATGTCCAGTCCTGGACATTCGGGCTATCACTCAAGCTCCCAGCATTCCCAACGTCAACGAAATATATTTCAGAGCAGCCACGATTCCAGAAGCTCAGCCTCTCGAGTGCCCCATAGCCAAGACTCTCAAGTCAGTAATCCCCATGGTCGACCTATGCCAGTTTCAAACGATCAAGGGATTGGTCTAGAATTGCACGCTGGAGACGAGATCGACCGGATTCTGGATCAAATGGACAGTGACAGCGATGACGAAGTCAAGTTTGCTTCGACCCAGTCCAGCTTTACGGACCATGGCTCTAAGCAACCTGACAGCTCTCAAGAGCATAACCGACGAGGTGGATGAGAGGCATTCGGACACAGCCCTTGGTGTTCAGCCTGCCTGCCTTTCTAAGCTCACATGTACGCTCAAAATGGCAGTCATCAACAGGACAGGGGCAACATTTGCCCTGGTTTGCATATACTCTTTGGTACCCGAACCTGAAGAATCGCTATTGGAGTCGGACTTAGATTGGGTCAAATATCTGGTTCAGGCCAGCCCTAGATTACTCTTACAATTGCGATTACTATATCCTCAGACGAGAGGAACGGTCGTGGCGTTCTCAACGTCATGTTTCCATGGTCCACTAATGCCACTATCTGCTCAAACAGGTCATTATTCGGTCATACTTGGAGAATCTCCCACCATTGTGCTCCTTAATTCCTATAAGGGGCTTCGCTACGTAGAGCATCCCGCGCGCATTGGTTCTATTGCTGGTACAGGTTTCCTCCGACTTGCGCGCAAACTACTTGCGCTCTTCCAAGCTACAATCTTTCGTCACGCCAAAGAAATGGATGAAGCAACTCCTTCCGCATCTCAATCATCCCCTTTCGAGGCTGGCATCTATCTTCCTGGGGGTCATAACACCGACCCGCCTCTGACAACCGACACGGTCGGTTACCGTTTGAATCACTTTATGCTCCGCATCCGAGATCCTCAGCGCACTCTGCATTTCTACGTCGATCTCATGGGCATGCGCACCATTTTCACCATGAACGCCGGCCCTTTCACCATGTACTATCTTGGCTATCCCCCCACTCCTAGCGACCGCGCTGACCTTTCTGCCTGGGCCTACCGAGTCGCCAAGGTCCGTGAACTCACCCAGACCATCGGGCTGCTGGAGTTTTACCATACTCATGGGACTGAGAAGGATAAAGAGTTTAGGGTGTCTACAGGGAACTTGCCTCCTAACTTGGGATTTGGCCATCTAGGTTTCACTGTCCCGGATGTTCCTGCGGCTGTCGAGCGACTGAGGGGGGATGGTGTACACGTGCTGAAAGAGGTTGGGGATAGTTCCAGGGGCAGTGTTCCTCTCAGTGCTTGGGAAGAGCATCGCGGCTTGGGGACGGGGGATATACATCCAAAGTTCAAGGAGATTTACGATCAGATTGCGTGTGTGGCTGATCCGGTGGGCAGACCTGACTCAATCAATCACAGTACCCAAGTTATTGACGGTTGCTTAGGATGGATACATGGTTGAACTTGTTCCGCAGAACATGCAGGATCAATGGGCCCGGTATAGTTGATTGCATTGGGAAGTGAATAATGTAACTTGAACCTGTGTGTTATAGCAACTCCAAAGCACCTTGGAGAATAACTCTCAGCCCTGAAAGCCAAGCCACAAATTCCATTCCACAACAAGTACTCCGCGGGACTTTCTATCCGTTCCCCCTTTCAACGGTAATCCTTGACTAGCTCGTCTCTCCACGCTTCCACTGTAAGTCTTTTTCGTATTCCAAATGATAAATGAATACAGCAATGCCCTCCACTCATGAAGCAATCAATCCCTCCCAGGCAACTCACCTACTGGACAGTAGTATACCTCTCAATAGGCCCTCAAATCTACCAGTACCACAACTGCTTTCTTCACTCAGCTTGGCCTGAACAAGCCTCACACGCGCCCCTTTCCCCTCCCTCTCTCTCTCCCAGCTAAGCCAAGCCCAAGCCCGCCAACAGCTACGCATCGGCCCTTCCGTCCTATTCCCCGCATACTTCCTGTCGAGTTCTTTCCATATTGGGTCTAGCAGATATTTGTCATATTAGGGTAGGAGTAGTACCAGGGCTATCTAAATGGATGAGTAGATGATAATCAGTGCTGCTAGGGTTCTCGTTCGTTCTTGTGGCTGTATAGGGGGGGGGGGGTACAATCTGTCTCAATTTACCCAATATATTTGATACCAAAGCCAAATACAATTGAAGCTTTATGCAGCACTCATTATGTAGTACTTAGTCCTTAGTACTTAGGCGTTTCCTGGCTTGGGTGTATCTACATTCTCGTAGCTCAGTATATAGCATTCCATCCATATGGTAAGGAATGGTGTCTAGGTATGTCCTTCAATCCATCTCTCGATTTCTCCCCCCCCCCCTTTCTTGGGTGTATAGTGAGCATAGTTGTGGGTGATACGATGGATGGAAAACAAAATGATATATAAGTCAGTATTACCATCTCAAGGATATAGTCTTCAGTCTTTCAGATAGGTCATACAAATTAACTGGCCTCCAGCTCGTCGCAGTACCTACTAGTAGTACCTAGTAATCACGATGGTTATCCTTGCCCGAGTCTCACTACTTCTTGTCCCGTTACTGGGGACTTTGTCTCATGCAATTCAGGTACGGAGTCCCAATTCAACCCTTCTCTCTCATCATACCATGGATGTATATACATAGTAAAGAGAGTGGGGAAGCGGAGAAGCACGTACACTAACACCACCCCCCATCCTCCGACAGGCCGAAGACTATCCCTCAACCTGCGTCGATGCCTGCGACGGCATAGAGCCGGATCCGACCGACACGAATTATTACTGCGACTACTGCATCTGCAAGAACAAATTGCTAGGATGGTCCAATTTCCAACCGACCGACAACTTCACCGACATGTTCACCGACTGGGTTCCGCTGGGCGGCCTCTGTCCGAAAGATTGGCTCTGTACCTGGGCGAACTGGACCGACAATGGATTCAACCCCACTTATAGCAAACTTGTCTATCCACCCAACAATGGCTTCAATGGCTGTCCTAAGAATGTGAGTCTAGGGGTTGGCACCTTAGTGGACCGCTTTGGCACGCAAAATGGCAGTTATCTCGCCCCGGCGGACGCTCCGTACGCACAGCGCTCCATCGGGCCAAGCAGTCTGAACAAGTACAATGGTAGTACCATGTACAACTACTGGAGATTCAATGTGACTGAGGAGTTTGTGGCTTTGGGTGGGGAGATCCTGCCGTGGTATGGTCAACCTGGAGGTGGCTGGCAGTGGTATGCAAATGTAACCCAGTTGCAAATTGACGGCAAGCTTAAGTTGGTCGGGGCGACGACTTTTGAGGTTAATGAAGCTTGGGAGGCTGCTGGGCCGATGGAGAGAGTCTATGGTCTTCAGGATTATTAGGTAGTAGCTGAGTAGCTGAAGTGTAGTGTTGGCGATGGGGATTGTGTATTGCACGGGCCCTGTTCCTTGGGCAGCGGAGTCAGTAGGTGTCGGAGGACTGGGGTGTATGTGCCGTTACTAGTATTGAAATCAAAACAACTTCTATAGAGTCAATAATTAGCTGGAGTAACTTTGCAGGTAGACAAGGGGGTAGACGAGATATAGTAGTATGACCACAATAACCTTGCAATAGCTTCAGAAATAAGATCCAAGCCCTAAGCAGGCGTAACTAGCCTTAGGCATACAATGAAACACTAACGATATTAGTGAACGAATGGATCTTCAGGCTTTGCTGGCCCAAAGCCAACAACAACATCAACATCAACATCAACAACAAAATTCATGAAAAGTGATTCTCTCCTTCCGGTAGAGGATCAAAAAGCTCCGCGGGGATCGGCAAATAGATACCGAACGAACCCTGCCGTACTCCATGCCATACACCCGGGCTTACCGATGCCGATACTTACTCTTCATAAATTGGCAGATGACTTGAAGCATTTCTGCGATCTACTTTGGCTCTTACTCGTACGAGTAAGTAGTTGCAGTTAGGAACATATTTCTTCGTGGAGTTCGGGTGAATATGGCTAGCAGATCATTGCAGTCAGACATGCCTTTCTCCTGTCTCACACACCAGCTCCCACTTCCTCCACGGTTTCCCTGTAGATTGGCTGTTCTCTTTGCCTCGGTAAGTAATTCCGGTGTCACACTAAAGGGATGGAAATGGTATACGTCAGGTGAGTAGTAGCTATTTACCAAGTATAGTAGATGCTGACTGGTGATATGCATACCGACATTGGCATTGGTATGGGTGGTAGTATGAATACACAATGGCTGACTGCATCCCTTGCGAAGTAGTAAAAGTTGAGGATCGTGAAGACATGGATTTTTCATAGGTGTATAAAGGCTGCAGAAAGCAGCGGACTACGGGTCTTGCTTTTCGACCTCAAGCTCGTCTACTTCGTTCCAATTTGATTCGCATTGCTTCAGAAACCATACAATTCGACTTGCCAACAATCATGGTGTGTATATCTCGTGCGCTGCTCATGCTCCCATTCCTGGGCTCTGTAGCGTATGCGCAGGAAGTAAGTGTATAGTACAAGCGACTGCCAATAGGTATATGATGTCTTGAACATGCTCACGCTAATTCACCTAGGCTGCGAACGTCGACGAGATCGGGATCGTGTGCCCCAACATGTGCGGTGACATAACGCCGGATCCGGCCATCGCCGCCCAGAAGAAATTCTATTGTAAAGAGTGTGTCTGCGAGAACAGGCTACTGGGTCTGGACAATCCCAAGTTTGGGGGCAATTGGACCGAGATATTCAAGGGCTGGGATTGGTATGGCGGCTTGTGTCCTCGCGACTGGCTCTTCAAGTGGGGACACTGGGATGTGGAGCCCTGGCAGGACCTAGAGTATCCGCCGAATGATGGATTCAAAACCGGCTCTCTACCAGGAGGACCTCGCGTTGGCAGCTGTGTGGACCGCTTCGGCAGTCCTTATGGTGGTTTTCTGGCCCCTCTGGGCACCAAGTACAGCGCACGAGCTATCCCGCCGAAGAACCTGATTAAGTATCCGAATAGCCCGCAGTTCAACTACTATGTTTATAAGGTGAAGCAGCCGTTAATTGCCCAGAAAGGGGATATTGCTCCGTGGTTCGGTCAACCTGGGGGTGGCACACAGTATTATGTGGCTAGCGGCCTGGAGAACTTGGTAAAATATGGCGTTCTTGAACCCACCAACGTCGAAGAGTGTCCTAAGGATGGCGTTGTGGAATGGGATGAAGGAGCAGATGCTCCTAGCTTGGAGGCATGGGAGAGTCTGGAGCCGGCGCAAGGGGACCCAATGTTCTATCATTGAGCGAGGCATAGGCGTTTGAGGGCTGTTGCTGGATGATGAAATTGCATCATTTGGCAATTCCTCTGAAGGACTTGCCTCGAATAGAGGTATATATGCCATGGTACGGAGATAAGGGAGGAACCAATGACGGATGGACGAGGATTTCTTTTGTATGCTCATCGGAATAGTAGTTAGAAGTAGTTGCAATAATCATAATACAACATTCTCGTGATGGCCGTACTTGGTCCTAGTCATATAGGATGGTGGCTACATCTGAATATATTATCATCAAGATATGCAACCAGCATTAAAAAAGAATCATCACCCATCAGTTGCATCTGCAGAGTCACATAACTATCGTACAAGCCTAAAGGCCAGAGAAATTCGAGCCAGGTACATACATACATATACATATACATATACATACCCAGCAGAGTCTATCACATCAAAGCAAATAAGGATCAAAGAAAAAGACACCGACGACTACTTTATGCAACGAGACAAGAAAGAAACCATTTTCCCTTCCCCAGAAGACGCCAGGAGTATGAAATAAGTGCAGACGTATCTTTCTATCAAAACATCCATCCGTCCATCCCATCATGAGCATAAGTTACACTCGAAAGTAGGTAGGTAGGATCTACTCTACTCCACTCCCCAACTGTCATCCACCTCTGCCACATCGTAGTCCACATCATGCGGGCCGTCCTTGCGTGCTCCGCTCTGTTCCGGTAACATGGATGGCCCCGATGCGTTGTCCATTACCATGTCCTCGTCTGACCCTGTCTTGTTGGTATCCGAGCCAGGGCCGGATGTTGCGCCGCTGGCGGGGAGGGTGATAGGGGGGTTAGGGACCCAAGTGAGCTGGACTTGGCCTACCGAGGGAATGTCTCGGGTTCCAAACATGAACTTCTCGGCTAGGTAGCGTTCCTTGAAGGCTACGATGACTGAGTCGGGTTGGTCTGGGTTGGGCTCGATGGATTCGTATTCGCCGACGCCCTGGTATACTGGGTTAGCTTTGAAAGCGTAAATAGGGTAGAACTGGAGGCGGGAAACTTACAATGAGGTATTGTCTCAAGGCCTCGTCCTTCTCAGAGTTGGCCTCCACACCGGAGACAGCCACCCTACGGGGTCGGTTGTCGAGACGTAGAACACCACCTCTGCCGCGAGCAGCGCCGCCACGACCACGATATCCACCGCGGAAGGACGGGTCGTAACCACGGCCCCGGGGCGGGAATCCACCACGAGCACCGAAGCCTCTTCCGCGACCGCGGTAGGAGTACGGTGCGCTCGCACCAGCACCGTTGGGGTCGATACCAAGACTCTTCGCTTCGGCTTCAAGAGCGGCCAGCTGTGCACGAAGCTGCTGGGTCTGGTCACTGGCATTCTCCTGTGACACACCCGCTTCGTCGGCCGGAGAGGCGCTGCCATCACCGCCTTCTTTTGCGCCAAGCTTTTGCATCAGACGAAGCTTCTCTTCCTGCTGCTTCTTAAGGAGCTCGTCGCGCTGTCGCTCGAGGGCTTGTTTTGCTTCCTCAGTCTCCTTGCGCTTCTTCAATTTCTCCTCGTGCGCCCGTTGAGCTTCCTCTTGCTGTCTCTCGAACTCTTCGCGGTTGAAGGCTGGACCCTCGTTCATGGCGTCGCCGGCAGGAGACCGATGGTCACCATTCCGATCACCCTTGGGCTTATGCCAGTAGACTTTGACGAATCGGTTATCAAAGATCACCTTGGGACTAGACCATGCCCGTTTAGCAGCTGCGTGGTTATCGTAGGTAATCAAGGCCAGTCGCCGGTGTGGTTGCAGAGTGATTTCAGTGATCTCGCCATATTGTGAAAAGAACTCTCGGATCGTGGCTTCGTCCATCTTATCATCAGGGATCTGCTCAACGACAATAGTCGTGATCGTCGTATCCTCGTTAGGCCCAGCAGAAGAAAATTCGGAGCGTCGTCCCCTGCCTCCAAAGCCACCTCGGTCCCCACCACGACCGCGGCCACGACCTCTGTCGCTGCCTCGCATAGGTGTATCCGTGCGCCTTTGGAAGTCGGTAATGAGGTTGGAGGACTTTGGATCGTATTCTAAAGAAAAAACCCCATCATTAGCAGAGTTCGTTTAGCGGCCAACGCAATCAATCGGCCAACTCACCATCTTCCTTGGAGGACCCTGGCATGGCATCGTGCTGGTAGGGGCATGTAGCGCCAAGGTAGCAGATACCCTGAGTCTCGTAGAACGGACACCGCTCCGAACTCTTGGGTCCCATCTTGTCCGGCTGCTGGCCGGCACCGGCGCCCGGGGGTGGTATCGGCATCGGAGGCATGCCCGGCATCTGAGGGAAGCCCATGCTCTGTAGAGCCATCATCGCTGCCATCGGATCATTCTGGTCAAAGCCGGGGAACGCAGGAGGCATCACTGGGAATCCCGCTGCACCAGGATGGAACTGTCCCGGACCAGCCGGTCCTGCGCGGCCGCCGTCCCTACCCATCCAATCTCCCCGGCCACCGCCACGTCCCCGGCGAGGGGTCTTGTATGTGCGATGGTGGGGTCCATCGTCGCGCTCCTGATCGGCCTGGAATCCCTCGTGGTAGTTACGCTTGCGATTGAAATTGGAGCCATCGGCTTGCGACTGTGGAATGCCGTAAGGGCCATTTGCTGGGCCGGAGGGAGCTCCAAAGGCCTGCTGCTGTTCCGAAGCTGATCCTGCAGCACCATCATGGGACATCGCGGCGGTTTGAACGGGCTGCGGCTTGGGCGCAAACGTTGTGAAGAGTTCATCGACAAATTGAACGGTGTCTATATATGCAAGAAAAGCCAGTGAGCCAACTGCGCTTTCTCTGCGCAAGCAAGTACCTCAACATGACTAACGTTCTCTCAAGAAGTCTTCCAGATTGTCCACCGAAGCCTTCCGGATCTCCTCATCCGGGGCATCTGTTCGGATAAGCGCCAGGACATAATCGGCGAGCACGTCAGAATCGGCATCCGATCTGGACCGGCGAGTTATTCGTTAGCTCGTGATTCAGCGCAGGGAACGTCGTGGAAAATCAGTCGCCGGGCAGATGAGCCTTACATATCTTCCAGTTTCCTCACTACCCACGACTTCACCTCAGTCGCTTGATCCTCGGTGAGCTGCATGTTGCCGCGCAAGGTTGAAACCGTGGCAGGCGACTGTTGCCGAAAGGAATAGTGCCTCGAAGAGCTTATAGAGACAGCAGGCGTTACTTGGCGGCGCCCGAAAAGAGGTTTGGGTCAGGGATCAAAATCGGCGTCAAAATGCGGATGATGAATATAGTGACAAAATAAAGGCTTGCCGGTAAGTTTGATCAGAGATTTACGCAAATCATAGTGCGATGAAAGAAAGACGTGCGAGGAGATAGCAACAGAGCTTTGCGGACCAAAAAAGCCGGGGAAACGCGAGCGACGCGGATGACAGTCTCCCCACGTGACCTACGCTGGGTGAGCTGCCCGGTTGCCCTACCACATCACGTCACCACCGGTGCTACTAATCTCCTATCTGGCCTACAAGCCAACTACGAGTCTAAAGTGACGATATACTGATAATGAACTTGAAAACCATCATATTTTTTTCATGTCCAATCGAGGGAATAGGAAAGGAGCTATGGAAAATCCCTCGCGGTCGTTAACGTAAAAATGAAGCCATCGCATATGCTCGTGCACAGCTCGATTCTACTTCTCTAAGCGGTCGAAAATCCACATACGACATTAAGCTGTTTTTCTTTTATATCCTCCCCCTCAATGTAGACAGGGTATTGCATTCGTCAATCTCATAAACAGAGGATTCCATCCATCACAAGTTCGAAATTTAGTCGGCTTGTATGGAAGGTTTTTACAGCTTGTCGTAGTACTGTTCATATAGGTTAGCTTCGGATCTCATCGATACAACTTAGTATACGGGGTTCAACTTACGTTCTCGTAGCCGGGAACCTGCTCCTTGAGACCCTTGCGCTTACGCATCTCAGTGACGACCTGACCAGGCTTGGAGGTAGGGTCAAGAGGAGATCCACCAGGGAGGACGGACCAGTGGTCGAAGACAGACTGGGGGAAGGCCTGTCCACCGGTGGCCTGACGAAGCTCGCCGGGGAAACCGAAGGACTCGTTGACGGGCAGGTAGGCCTTGACGTTGAAGAGAGGAGTACCAGGGCGCTGCTCCTCGGTGTAGACGTGACCACGACGGCGGGTAAGGACACCGTAGATACCACCCATGGCCTGCTCGGGGACCTGGATCTCGACGTTGAAGATGGGCTCCAGGATGCCGGGGTCGGCAAGCATGGTAGCAGCATACAGGACACGACGAGCAGTGGGGATGATCTGACCACCACCACGGTGAATAGCATCAGCGTGCAGAGTAACATCAAGGATGTTGAAGCGGATAGAGCGCATGGGCTCCTCAGCGATGGGACCCTCACGGGTGGCCCACTGGAAACCAGAGACGAAAGAGTCCTTGATTTCGTTAAGGTACTGGACGGCCTTGGTCTGGTCAACCAGCAAGTTGGCACCGGTGGTGTCGGGACCGAAGCACCAAATCTTACGGGCATCGGTGACATCCCAGCCGTACTCGTCAGCAAGGAGACGGGCACGAGCCTTGAAATCGTCACGGGGGGTGATCTTGCCAGCCTCAATGGCCAGGGAGACCTCCTCGTCAAGGGGCTGGGCAGTGAGGTACAGACGGTTGTGCTTGTTGGGAGACTTGGACAGAGCAGTCATGCTGGAAGTGCCAGCGACGGTCTCACGGTAGGAGACGACGGGGTCGGAGATACGAAGGGGAACACCAGCGTGGTCCTCCTCGAGATCCTTCAGGCAAATTTCCAGGTGAAGCTCACCAGCACCGGCAACGACGTGCTCACCGGACTCGTTGATCATGGTCAGGACACAAGGGTCAGACTTGGACAGACGCTTAAGACCTTCGACCAGCTTGGGCAGATCCTGGGCGTTCTTGACCTCAACGGAACGCTGGACGACGGGGGAGACGGAGAACTTCATGACCTTCATGTTGTGGGCAGTCTCGGAGGTGGTGAGGGTACCAGACTTGAGCAGGAACTGGTCAACACCGACCAGACCGACGATGTTACCGGCGGGAACATCCTCAATGGGCTCGACGAAACGACCCATCATCAGGATGGTACGCTGGATGTTCTTGACGAACAGGTCCTCCTTCTTGCCAGGGACGTAGTTGGGACCCTGGATACGGACCTTAAGACCGGAGCGGACGGTACCGGAGTAGACACGACCGAAAGCGTAGAAACGACCCTTGTCGGAGGTGGGAACCATCTTGGAGACATAAAGCATCAGAGGAGCCTTGGGGTCACAGTCGCGGATACCGACGGCGCAGTCGTCGTCGGAGGGACCCTCGTAGAGAGTCTCACCACGGTACTTCTGGGCAGTAACGGGGGAGGGAAGGTGGATACAGATCATCTCCAACATGGCATCAGCGGCGGGGAGGAACTTGCGCATGACAGCCTTGAGGAGCTGCTTGCCAGCAAGGTCCTTCTCGTCGTTGGAAAGCTTGACCTCAAGCTTCTCAAGGAGAGTGGGGATCTGGTCCTTCTTGTCGTTGTTGATGGTCTGGAAGATCTTGAAGATGGGGTCCAGAACGAACATGTTGAAGGCACGCTCAACGGGCTTGCCGTTGACCTCGGGCTGGGACTTGGTCCACTTCTTGGTGGCGGGGTTGAAGTAGTTGTCACCCTGTTTTGATTGTTAGCGATGTTCATACAATAGCACGATGATGCATTGCTCCATACCCAGAGACGCTCAAGCATCTTCTTGCGGTCAACACCGAACTTCTTGGCGAACTTGACGGCGAACTGGCGGACGGTGAAAGCCCAGCCGTGGAGACCGGAACCGAAGGCAACGGTACCCTTCTCGGCGTAGACCTGGACATCACCAAGAGCCTTGTCGAAGTAGGTGGCGATGATGACGTTGACGGACTCGATGGTACGAGAGAAGGACTGGTACAGGTCCTCCTTGGAGACCTGGAGCTCGAGCAGAGCACGGTCGACCTTGTTGATGATCAGGACGGGCTTGATACGCTCGGTCAGGGCCTGACGAAGGACAGTCTCGGTCTGGACACAGACACCGGAGACACAGTCGACGACGACCAGGGCACCGTCAGTGACACGCAGAGCAGCAGTGACCTCAGAGGAGAAGTCAACGTGACCGGGGGAATCGATCAGGTTGATCAGGAACTCAGAGCCATCGACCTTCTGGGGGATCTCCTTGAGATCCTCCTCATCGGGGAACTTGGCGTAGAGGGAGATGGCAGTGGACTTGATGGTGATACCACGGTCCTGCTCATCGGGACGGGTGTCCATGTAACGACCCTCACCAGCCTTAGCAGCCGAGATGATACCGGCACGCTGGACCAGGGAGTCGGAAAGGGTGGACTTTCCGTGATCGACTATGGTTGCGAGTCAGCGAGCTAAATTCGAGATACAAATGGCCATCAATGATGCCAAGACCTGGATCAAGTACATACCGTGAGCAATGACGGACATGTTACGGATGTTGGCCGGGCGGTCCATCAGGCCGCGGATCTATTTTCAGCATTAGTACACTTCCATCCTCGTTGACTGATTGCTTTTCCCATAACTGGGCCGGGGTTGCCCTCTTAGGTGTCGAGAAGCAGTCCGATGCAGGTGGGTGCGGGGAACATAGAACGGACCTCTTCGATAGTGAAGCTATAGAGAACATCGTTAGCACGTTATTCCAAGTTTCCAAAAGTATGATGCCGACCCCTCAACCCATCTATGCGATGGTATAGCATCGCCATAGAGATTGACCGGGAGTGTGTGGGTGAACGTACTTAACCATCTTGACTGATTTTTCTCGTCAACTGCCGTAGAGGCGGGGTTTCGTAAAAAAAAGAAAATAAAAAGGAAGAACGACACACAAAGGACCAAGATCGAGAACTAGCTCGACCGAGTGATCAAATAGGACAAGAAAGGCCTATGTGCGCTGCTCCGGGGAAAGAGACAGAGATGGCTTCGCGGAGGAAGGTGAAGGAAGGAAAAAGAGAGAAGAGGGAAGGGAAGAGGGCGGATGGAGAGGAAGAGGGGAAAAGAGGGAAGGAAAGCGAGAGGGCGGCGGGTGGGGACACTTTTTTTTGTGCTGGTGGGATTTTTTCCGATTTCAAATCTGGGATGTGCGTTTTTTCTTGTCGGGCCCCTCGTTTCCTTACCGTTTCACTGCTTAGCGTCGGTTACTTTTCTTACCCTCTCTAGTATCTACTATCTTTCTTCTCTCTTTTTTGTTTTTTCAGTGCCCGCCAGTCCTCGTTATCGTAATGGTTATAAATGAAAGGAAATACTGGGTAATAAGGGTAGATTGTGGATGAGTATCCGTAATGACGGCTGAACTAGTACTACTACTTACTGCACAATTTTAGGACTCATCATCAATACCTTGTCCGATTTCCTCTCTGGGAGCCCGCATTTCCCAGCAAGCACAGACTGACTGGAACTAAGGTAATGGGAGTTGACCATGGTTTATGGGCAAATTACACCTTCCTCTGGAGAGGTCATCCAATGACCAGTTACTATAAGCTTACAGAGCTCATAGCTCCTCTCTTTCCCGTACACGAGCTCTTCTGGTATCTTTAGCCACCTTACTGTAACCTCCAACCTCCCTCTCAACGGTGATCCCGTGTTCAGGTGGGTGGGTGGCAAAGAGTGCTGAAGTGTGCTGATATCATGATCCGTTGTACCAGAGAAGGTCTTTCCCGCCATCCTGAGTGGGTAATTAAGGTATGGAGCTTACCCAATCGCGGCCTAGTTCCACTGGTCAATATCTTCATGTTCATCATCTTGGTCAGCTTGCTTTCAATGGAGAAAACATTGTCAAGTATTCAAGGGAGATTAATAGGAGGGAAATAAAACAGTAAACATGGCAGTCACATCTTAATATTATATGTCTAGCTTGTAATGAAGTTTTATGGGTCTCTACACTGTAGCTGCTTACTGCAGGCTGGTATCGACCCCTCCTTCCTCACCGCCCGGCTGGTCACGGGATGGGGGGAAGCGGAGTTAGGAAATAATGCATTACCGAACGTTACAACAACGTGGTTCGACCAATTTGACAGCGGCAGGCCAATCGCCCGCCCGACTACTCCTGCACACCTGCAATTGCGGTCCGACGTGCCCTTTTGCAGTACACATATGACTAGTCTAGGCTCTTCGGCTCTATCAATCTATCCTAAGGTAGATGATGTGGCATAGTATTGTCTAAGCTACTGCTGAAGCAATTATACCAGTCGGCCTGGTCACGTGGTTAGATCACCAACCACCTGAGAGGATCTGATTTCATAGTCACCCAAGTAACCTTAGAGAGGATAAGCACTCTGAAATGAGCACCTAGGTATCTTTGGCAATTATACGTTGTGGCAAAACTCGCGATTTCGAAGAGAACATAAATATCAATCAGGTTATATACAGAATGAGGCCTGCTTATGCACCTCGATTGTTTACTTGACCGACCCTCGATGGCAGCATTGATATGCAGTGGGTATTATAATTTAAACTATACCGAACATACGACTCCCTTAATCCATAATGGAGTCAGCGCTAGTTATGTTTGCCCTAGGCTCGTTAGTTCACCACAAGCCGGGTTCATCGACAAAAAACAGCCCCATGTTGCCTCAGAAAATCATCGTGAAACACCGTAAAGAATCACACAACAAGCCCACCGACCACTGAGTGTCCTTGTTCTAGCTATGGCGCTGCACGATGATACTGACACGTCCCTCAACATTCCAGTAGGGGAACAGGCGAATCCAGCAATTCTCGTGACAACGAGGCGGTTTGTATTCAGAAAACTGATGAGCTACGGTATATCTGAAGCGGAATCATATAGGGAACAACATCCTATGATGAGGGGGCGTTCGCAGCGGATAATTTAAGTTATATCCTGATGGGCTGACATTCAGTAAATATATAGCTAGAATGGGGATAGGCGCAAATTATAATTTGATCGTACTTGCGTGATCAAGAATGTGCCTCTCAGGCATATAGTGATCCTGGGATGTAGTGCAACATTTTTCAAGATTCCTGCTGGCTCCCCTAAGACCTTACATCTTTCGAGAAACCTATTGTTGGAACTAAAATGTAGCGATGTGCACCCTCAGGAACATGAACTGTTTGTAATTGATATTTAAATGATTTGGTGGACGGTCAGACGGTCCTTGTTTGTGTTCCATCTTTGCGGGTTCGAATGCCCATGCGCTGAGTACGTATGATCATCCGCGTAACAGTTTTTAGCTATCTGTTGTTGGAGTGTTGATTTCCGGATTGATATAAGACAAAGTAGCTAGTGAGAGGTTCATGACACGGCTGTCGGACGTGAAGGGCCTCGCATAGTACGGAATTGATTCCGTTTATATCACTCCAGTCCAGACGACCGATATAAAACAGTCCATTTGTGCTTCACTGCATGTATATTCCTGTCTAATTCGTCTTAAAGCATCATAAATACTTTTAGAGCGTGTGAATGATACCAAGAACAAGCCAAGATCTGTACACTATTGCCTGTGAAAAGGTACATACTTGTATCCATCCTGATACTATTTTATATCATATCATTGGCTGTGTTTTGCTAAATAAAAGCCCATTGTAACAGCTGCAGTATCTCTTATATGGATTTAATGATAAACTGTCTCTGTCTCATGCCTCAGAATATTTCTGTAGGTCATACTTTTCACTCGTCCATGGTTGATTGAACAGTACTATACATTTAGAATCTCTATCTTTCTTAAAGGCAAGGAGCTCCTTTTCCCAGCCCCAATAGTCATTTATATGATTGTAGCTTTTTGCTGCGACATTTCCGTAAAAATCAACAGCGAATGCCATCTGACTGGCAGAGGATCGAATTAGCGAGTGCCATTGGACTTATGGCTACAATTGCCTAAGACTTACTTAAACGCGCCGTCCATATAACGCGGCGCTTCAGATATGCTCCGAGAGAATTAAACTTCTGACTCCTCAGTGTGGACGTTGTGTAGCCGTGCTTGCCAAGCTTGCAGCACTACTGTGCTGCGACAGGTATTGTTTTGGATAAACTGCTCGATGCAAGGAATGAAGTATTGCTCAACTGGGATAGGGTAAGCGTCCTTGATTAAACACCTCCATAGAGGAGACTCGGCAGATACAATGAAGGACGGCAGCCATTGCCTGTTAAAATTACATTCCGGCACGACTATCGCATCCCAAGCTCCAAAGATAGGATTCCCCATGCCGTAAAAGTCTACAGTAGTATCATCACCTATCACGTCCAACCATTCTTCCGTTACGTCCTTTCGACCTCATCCAGTAATGCTCGGCTGTTTGTGGCGCCCGATTAGCAACGTTGTAAAGCAGTCCGAATCCTTCAGATTTGCCCTAGAACTGGGGATGACAATTGGCATATTTCGATCTCACATCGGCACGGGCATAAGGGGTAATAACAAGCTGCAAAATCTTCAGAGAGCTTCAGTTGATGAGAGAGCCAGGTAGGCTTTACGTTTGGTAGGAGCAGGCAGAATATAGAAGCATTCTCATTTTTAAACAGGAAGATTGGAAGACGCCATCGCAAGAGAAAAGGTCTTCCATTAAGAGCAGCTTGAACATGTATCAATGAAGTTCCTACTGCCTTACAATCTCAGAGTGGAAAACAGCTTTCTTCATTTCGAGATCGTTGATTCAGAAAATTGTTAGATTTTGGGCAAGCATTAACCATGAGATCAGGTAAAGATCGAGGCTATTAGGTAGTATTGCATGATCGGCTCAAAAATGGATCTTTCAGCGACAGAGCAAACTCCCGTCAATCGTTGAGCCATGTGCATGGAGTGGTTGGCTATAAGTGACAGCTCAAACTTATACATATCGCCAATTCCATTGCTCTCGTGCCACTAGCACTACTGCTGTATGCCGTTTCATCGATGGCGGTGAAAGTTCGGCGTGGACATACCGAGATGTCTACAAGGTTGACATGATCAATGGAGTACTCTTTACGGCAGCTGCATCGGAAAACTTTTCCTAAGTGAGAGTGTGGTCGGGAACGCAACATGACCACAAGCTATAACCCTAGTCTGCAATAACCGACGGAGTGATCTTCATGATACCCCGCCGTACACATCTCCTCCAGAGTTCGTCCATAGCCGCCTGTCTTCCTCCAGAGTCATTTCTCATAGGGTATGGAGTCTGTGACTTTCTAAGGTTCAGAAACCGACAGAGCGGCTTCCACCCATTCTGACGATGAAACTCCAGCAACCTCTCTGGTGGCACAACTTTGTGAACGTACCTATCGTGTTCCATAAACACTTGCTTGACCTTGTCACCTTTCTCCTCGTTGCAAAAATAGAACCACAGGGCTCTATCATATTCATAGAGCTCTGCCGCCATCCTGTCCGTATACCGAAGTATCGTCCACGAAGGCCGATCGGAATGAAGCGAAGGACCGTGGCTACCATGGACTGGTGCCACCCTTCCACGTCGTGAGTATTCAGGATGACATGGGCTTCTGGATATGTGGCCATTAGTTTGTCGGTGTAAAGACAGCAGGGGTATGCATGATTGCCTGATCCAGGCCATGAGTCATGTCAGCAAATGGGTAAAACCACCAGTGGTTCAATGGAGGTGTCAAAGTGATCTACGTCAAAAGTCACTTGTCAACTGGATAAATTGCTCGAGGCCAATGCGGTGCCCTTTACCATTGAACTTCCGATGTAACGCATTTGTCCGCATTGGCAAATGTCCCAGTTTCATGCGGGCTAGGAAATCATGAGGCTAAAATCCGAGTTGGCATAGCGCGGCGTTAAGTGCTGCACCCCTGTTGAGTGAGAATTTCACTCTGCTGCTATGGTACTATAGAGTTCTTACATTTTGTTCCAGTGCGCCCTAACCGCAACGCTAATACTTTCATTGGTCGTTGACGGCCCGACTCCCTCGTGGTATTCGGACTCTCGGAGAGATAGGCATGATGAGGGATATTTCGTCTTGCATCATGCATTGGTTCCCATTCGCGGACAGATGTCGTCCACGGATATAAACTACTTATGTAGTTAGTTAATTGGGCATCATCACCCACTTTACTCCACCACCCAATCGTGGGCATTCATTGATATGGAATCCACTAAGACTGTAGATTTCATGTATGCTTCTGACTGATGATAGTATCACATGTCTCAATTCTTTTCTTTTTTCCCCCTTTTTTTTACTTTTTCTGCTGCATGATCATGTAGATCGAAGATAACTCGCCGAAATGGTGTGCTGATATTTTGAAAATGCAATGATAAGCAAGGAGCTATCACTCGCGTGCACTGAAGTGGTAGATTCGACGTATAACATACAATAGCCAGAAAGAGGGGCAATGCGATGCCTAGAGAGGCATCTGCAGACGGAAATCACTTTGTTGCATACTTACTATACAGTAGTCTCTTGCTGGCATGTCAGCAGCCACGGTGTCTAAAACCCCCTGTTGTCCCCGAAAGAAATGAACTATCAACACTTTTTTCTACGGTCGGAGGTGTCATCGGAACCATTTAACCTTGCTGACCATAGTTGGCATAACAACTCTTTTCAGACGTTCAAAACAATGGAACCAGCCATTAGACAACTGGCCCAGACGTACGTCGGCCATGTTCGCCGGGTTAGCTTGTCCTTTTGCACACTTTACATGGCGCTACGGCTATCATGTCTGATATGTGCGCCTGAGACCAATTACTGGATGTGGGTGGTATTGATATTCGAAGCCCTGTGGACTTGTATGTTCTAGATCCTATGGAAAAGTGATTCCAAAAATAGTGATTTTGTCTAACTATGGTCGTCCACCTTTCCTTGATGATCTATAGACCAGTCCCTGAGCATTGAATTGCCTAGACGGACAGGGGAAACGTCAAAACGACTCCATCTAACTAAGAACCATGCATTGCCTTCGGTAGATATTATGCTGCCATGCTGCGGTGAACCAATCGAGATCATTTGCGATACCATACGTGCAGCGTGTGTCATCGACTACCCCCAAACTGCATTCCGGGTCCTCATCTTGGATGATGGAAACTCTCTGGAACTACGACAGGCGGTAGAAGAGTTGCAACATACCTGGCCAAACCTCCCATACTACAGCAGAGGAACTAAGCCGAGCCAGAAAGTCTTTGCAAAAGCAGGCAACCTGAACTTTGGCTTGTTTGATATCCAGGGAGGAATGGACAAGCCGCCTGAGCTTATTGCCATATTTGATTCAGACTTTCTGCCTGCTCCCAACTTTCTGCGAGCCACGCTTCCTCATATGTTGGAGGATGACAATGTTGGAATTGTAAGTTCAAGACAAGACTACTATAACCTTCCCCAAGGGGACCCACTTGATCAAAGCCTGGCAATGTTTTTTGAGGTGATTTTGCCCAAGATGGACGAAATGGGATCGAGTCTAGCAACAACTTCGGGATGTCTTATGCGCCGCGATTTAGCCGTCCAGGTGGGCGGATTTCCAACTCTGAATGAAGTGGAGGACATCACTCTATCGTTTATTCTGCCAGCGTACGGGAAGCGCGTCGTATATCTCACTGAAATGCTGCAACTGGGACGCGTGCCAACCTCGTTGGAAGGTCATGTCCGGCAGAACCGACGATGGCTCACTGGCCTGACAGAGATGATCGCTACTCCCTGGACACCATCCGCCGAGTCTATCCCGACTCCGTTGAGATACTCTATGGCATACTTTGGTATTTATTGGGTTTTGTCACCACTAGGTCAGAGTATCGGCTGTGCGATAATCGCTCCTGCGTTGATATCACGTCAAGCGCTTGTGCCACATCATCTACTCCAGGTCCAGATCCCATCATCCCTGGTAGCGTTTGGACTCGTTTCCCTGTACGAATGGCTGAAGGCGGCAGCAATGGGGTTCCGCTTATCCGTATTTACTCATTTTGGTGAACTGTGGTTATGTGCAGGTAGGTCTTGCCGTCTCCCAACCCCGACACTATAGATACAACGTATAACTGACAAACCGGGCAAAGACCGAATCTGTACTCTCATACAATTCCATATATTCGGTTCACAGGGGGGTAGGTCCCTAGTGACAGGCAGTGTCCAGAACACTTGGAACAATCCCAGCAGGGTCCCCACGCGAATGACACAGTTGAAAAGGGACTTATGGGATGCTAGAGTTGGCTTCAACGTCCTCTTTGTATTTGGAGTCCTCGCCGGCATCTTCCATTCGGTGATCGGTATCGTCGAGAGATATCATCATCATCATCATCCCGACTGGCAACTTCATCTTATGACCACCTTGCTGTACCCTCCTGTTGTTCTCATGTGCTACATAATTCTTACCTGTCACCTAGTCCCACTGTCATGCGTGATATGGCGGCCTCAATATCCTCCCCGGAAAGCAGTCTTCGATACTCATCCGAGTGACCCCCGTGCCGTGTTTCCTTCTGAGGCAGTTCGACAATCCAACGTCCGTCAGAGGCATGCGCCGCTAGGTCATCGTCGACATTTACTATTGATTCCGGTCTATATCACTTTCATGAGCGTATTTTATTTTAGGTATCTGTGAAATGTGTGGAGAAATCGCGGTTGATGTTACTATGTGATGCTGAACAATGAGTGCGCCAACTTGCTATATTTTTACCCCCACTCCGGTCATTGGAAGGGGCCCTATTTCGGGGCTCTCCATTGGATTATACTATTCAGGCATGAATGTCAACTATTGTTGTCTATGTGCTGTGAGACTTATGTGTAGATAACCCAATTGGCTATTGATAGTTGGTGCTGGTCAACTCATAGTTTGATATGTAGAAGAAACTTCCGTCGTCGCCGGCCTGTGACTAGGGCACATCCTAATTTGGAAACGTCTTATAGTAAGACTACCACGTGTCCCAATCGTATTATAAGGGTACCTTATTTTTTTTATCTGAATTCCTTCAAATTGAACTTAGGAGTACTCTATATTTTACTTTAGAAGTGTTTAATGGGTCATTGATTATTTGTAGAACTTATATACAGAACCGCGTGAAATCAGGAAGATCCTAAAATCTTCGCGTACGCATCCTCCACCTCTTTGGCAATCTCCAGAAGCGTGACGATGACAATCTGATGAGTAATATTAGGCAGCTTATCCCGTTGAAGTCCAATCCATTCCAACGGTGGCGTCGCCTCGCCCATGTCGCGGAGTTGAGGGGTCTCGATCACCGGTATTTCCAGCGCCACGTATTCATATCTCGACTGCGGAACATTGACTACTGCCGTGATCTTCTCCTGCGGCTCATTTTTGTCGCCGCTGCCTTCCGCATCAAACGCACCAGTGATCCGAACCGCTGATGGGGGCAGTGGCTTCCCGAGTCGAGTAGCCAAGGCACGAGAATGAGTCTCCCACATATCTCGGATGAAACTGATGCGGGAGTAGTTCCAACCGACATCTACCTTGCCCTCGAATGTGCTCTGGAAGATATACTCAATCTGCTGAGAGCCCGGGACTTGCCAGGTCTGCATGCGAGCTACAAGCCGAGGAACCTTAAGAATAGTCCCTCCCCTGGATCCCGTGACACGATTGGCGATCTCATTCACAAGTAGCTCTTCCGTATCCATAGGCCCGGACCGCACAATGTTTGAAAGCGCAACACGAAGCTGACCCAGAGTTAGGCCTAATGCGCTGTGTATTTTACCGTCCTGCAAGGAGACATCAAACCGGGCCTGCGCATCATGCGCCTCCAGCTTGAATACATGATTGTCGAAGAATGAGCTTGGGAAGACTCCTATGCTGACGGTGTTGATACTGACAACAACTCCGGTGTGCAAGGTGATTGGTGCTGTCTCGATCTTGTCTTCCTCCGGTTTGGAAATTTCCCTGGACAAGACCTCCGCCTTCTCCGAGAAGATCGACGTCTTCCGGCGCAGGTACCGTTCCACATCTCGTAGAGAAGCTTCATAAGCTGCTTGCTTGTCTTGCACAAGTCGCTGCCATGCCTGGTATAATGCCAGCGACTGTGATGCAGTCAGGCTTGTGCAAAAGACCTGCACTTTATCCCCATCCAGTATGCTAAAGAGACGCTCGCCAGGAGCGTCATCCGTCTGCCGAACATTATACATCAAGAATGCAAAGCTGGAGATGTGAGCTATCAAGAAAGGTTGATAGTCAAAAGAAACCTTGACCTGTAGCTGATGCCAAGATATAGATGCCTGAATGAGGGGCGTCTTGTTGACCTGCTGACTATTTGGCCAATTAATGGAAGTGGCTATTTTGAGACTCTGAAGCTCAACCAAACCGCTCATTCGGCCCTTGCTCTCGATCCCTAGTGTATTGAAGTTGATGCAGAGAGTCTGCTCCCAATCGGAGGTCTTCTTCGAGGACAGCCACAAGTCATTGATGGCGAATTGCGCCTTTCCTAGCGTAGACCCTAGGTCGAGTTGGATTTCCAACTTCTCGATCGAGATTGTGGTGTTCCATGGGAAAGCAGGGGTTGCTGCGACCTGTTGATATCGCTGCACGATATATGCCTGCGTCTCCGTGGGCTGTGGCTCGGGTGGAGGGGCAGTGTCTACCTCGTCACTTGAAGGAACCCAGATTTCACGGAAGAGCAGAAGATCTTGAACCTGCTTCGCATTGAGGGCAACTTCCATCGGACTCACTCTCAGAACGACCGAGATCCCTTTCGACCTCCCTAGGTGTTTGCTGTTCATAAGAGACATGACCATAGACTCAACCTCAAAGCTAGCGGTTGATTCGTTTGAGTACACATGCTTCACGGATGCTTGCAATGAGTTGAAAGACACCAAGAGGGCTAGGAATCGCTCTTGATCATCTGACTGCACGGTATTGACTGTCACATATACACTGTCAAAGCGTGTCGTAGCTGCTACTCTAGCGATGGGTTGGCAGCTTAAGCTGAACTCCTGTTTGCAAACCAAGATGCCTACATTCACCTTGCACCGTCCAAGGATTGAACCAGGTCCTTTGTCATCGAGAGGGGTCTCCTGCATCAACTTCTGTGACTGCAGCATCATGGCATTAGACGGCCTCCTCGACTTTGGTTGGTCGCCCATGGCTTCCTTTATAGTAGAGGTCATCTGCTTGATCAGGGGAACGAGACTCGGGTAGAGGACATTCGTAGATGCGTCGACCTTCAACTCCGCGTTTAAGGCAGAGTCATCTCGCCCGTTGTCCTCAAATTGAACTTTCAGAGCTACTCCTGGAGCTCTGAACGTTGCAGTGGCTGTTCCATCTCCTTGAATGTAGTGTCCGTAAGTTGACCCAGGAAGCCTGCCGTCTTTCAAGGGTGGCGCTAGCATTGCCTGTGTATCATCTGTGTGCCGCCCTCGTAGGGACATAACGGCCCCGGCAAAGTCAACGTCAACCAGAACGGAGCGGAAGCGCTTATTTCCAAAGAGTGGGCGGTGTTTGGTGCTATCATCGGATGGCTTTGTCACTAAAGTGGCATTGGCCTCCCGGATAGTTCGTGCAGCAGAGGCAAGAGAGTTCCGGATCACGCTTGCTGGCAAGATAAAATCAGAAGTAGCGCGTATGTCGAGAGATTTCCCTGCAGCTTGGAAGGCTAGTCGAACCTCCTTTCCGGCTGAGGAGTATGCCACATTGAAAACTAGTTCTGGCAATAGAGCAGAATTAAGCGAGCGCTTCCGTCTATTACCAGAAACAGGCACCATCTGCAACTGGACGTCCTCAATTCGAAGCTTAGCGGCATTTGCTTTCTTGTTGGACAATTCCACACGTTTGATAGAGAACACCAGATCATCAGGTCTACGTCCAGATGCCATTGGTGGTACACCTGCCATGTTCCAGCCAATCTGAATATCGTTGAAGTCAAGGGAGTACATCGAGTCGAATAGGCCTTCGGAGGAAGCGCTATCCGTAACGTTGATGCTTGGAATTTCCTGTTCCTTGCCTTCCGTGTGGCCGCGATGTCGCAGTCGTTTGAATCGCTTTACCTCCTGAGAAAGGTCCAACGTTTTTATGCGTTCCTGCAAGTGGGCAGCCATATCAACCACCAATGCGGCGGTCTCTGGGAAAAGCTCGATATCGCACCCTTTGCTGGTTAAGTGGAACAATCGTCGAGTTTCCCCACTCTCTCTGGTCGTCGAGGTACCCTGAAGCTTGGCGTCGACTGCAAAAGTACAGTATGAGCGGCTGCGATGTGCGTCTTCCTTCCTCAAATCAAAGCTTATGTTCGATGTATCGATATGGAACTCCGGGTATTCCAAGGCATGTCCTGCCTTGAGGCCGTTGTCTAGGTGAAGGCGCACCATACCGAGGCTGATATCCATATCTGCGGTATAGCTCTTGCCGTTCAGCCCTGGTGCCCTGGCATGAATAGTTGTTCCCGCCATCGTCATGCGTGCTTTGTACAAAATGCTGTGACTCTTAGACACGCTTTGTTGTGGAGGAGGTCTTTTCTGGGCAATGTTCTCGTTGAAATGTAGCCGCAGGACTTCGAGACTTTGCTTCAGATCGTCAAGCAAATGCGAAATTTCTGGCTTGGAAAGGGCACCAAGAAGGCTTCGCACAGCGCTGGCCTCTACTCTTATCAATTCAATAGTAACATCCACTTCCACATCAGTGCGGGTCGAGGAGACATCAGCAATGACTCGACCATTGATAGGAGGTATCTCCAATGTTGAAAGGGAACGCCACTTGCCGCCTTCGCTTGATAAAAGCGTATGTGCGTTCTTCTTCAAGTCAAAGTCTACTTCAATTTTCGATCCAAATTTCGGTGTGATTGAAGTTCGTGCTACTTTTCCAGCGATGACATATGTCAGCGATGGAAGCACACAAAAGCTTAGTCGGTAATCGTCCAGGAACATGGCAACGTGGAAATTATTGCGCACTCGCTTCTTCGAAGGAGTTTTGTCAAGCTGCGGCTCATGTGATGGCAATTCCACACTATTCACAAGCTGTTGTATGAAATGAATCTCGTCCTCTATCAACCGATCAGCAGTATGTGCGAGGCCCAGCACATCTTCCCTCATATCATAGCGGAGTTTCCTGCAAGAACCAGCAACCTTCCATTCGTGGTTCAACTCTGCCTCGTTTTCTTCAGTTGAAAGAGAACAGTACATATGAGGACTACTGACTTTCCAGAGCATGAGAGCTTTGGAAGAGCTGGAGAGTTCTGAGAAGCAAGCTTCGGAGCTCAGCAACAAGCTCATGATTTCCGGACTTTCTGCGCTGGGGGGTTTCTGCACAAGTGAGCTCCTAAGAGCTTTACCGGTCAACGCTAGCTTTATATTGATGCCATCGAGAATGATCGAGCCCAGGTCAGCTCCAAAAACTACCTGGATTTCGGTGAGCTTTTCTGGGCCACTGCCACGACTCTGGGGCGGAGGCGTAGATTCCAGTGTGACTGTAGACATTGTTTTCAGGACTCCTTCCACCAGATCTAGGATCTCCCATCGTAAGTGGAGGCCAACGGAAGAGCAATACGATTGTATGACTACTGCCTCCTTGAGTCGGCGCCCTTGGTCTGTCGATGGTAGTTCACTGGGCTGAACTGAGACGGCAGTTGACAAATCTTCCACGATAAAATCGCTCTCTTTCGGCCCAGG